CCGCGCGGGGGGCTCTGTGGCCCCGGCTCGACCCACCCCCAGATCCGCCCTTCCCCGCGAGGTGGGCGAGCGGGGGCGGCCGTCCGGCGGAGCCCGGGGCCCGGCTGGCGAGACGGGCGTTGAGCTAATTATAGGAAGAGGGAGGGTCCAGGACCGGCGCCGAGCTTTAGGAAAGTCACCTCCTCCAGCCTCCGCCAGGCTCCGGCCAGGGGAGGGCCTCCCGAGACCACCCCTGCAACCTCCAGGTCTTAGACACGCGGTGATCTCCCCTGCAGACACCAGTCGCCCGCCTAGCTTGGTGCGGGTGGTCCCCGCCCCCTTTAAGTTCCTGTTTATGCTTTTTATTAGTTTATATTAATTTTAAAAGATACCACGTCTCTTCCCTGACTCACTGGCTGCTTCTGTTTATCGCTAGAGTACACAGGCCCCAGCGTCTCTTCCTCTCCCCAAGACTAAGTTATCAAATGATTTCTGCCCAGTGTGGCCAGAGCTTCCAGGGAGCAGATGACACCAACCTGGGCTCAAGAGACAGATGAGCTTTCTGAAACCCAAACCCAGGCCTACTTTCTTGGGGTGGACTCCTGAGGGTGTTTCCAGAGAGCGAGGGATGGAAAAGACCATACATATCTCCAACCTCCACTGAGCAGCTTCTAACAAACAACCCCTCCCAAAAACAGACCATGGAAGAGAGTGGTTAGGCACAAATTTAAGTATAACCTTTAGGACTTCAACTGCAGAGTCTTGCAGGAGCCGGCCTGCCTGAAATAAAATGTGTAGAAGCTAGTGTTTGTTTTGCTAAGGGATGCTCCCATAAGTCATAGTTCCTTTTCTTTCTTTAAAGGAAAGTGTGACTTTGGAGGGTTTCCTGTACTTTGATTCATTATTTAAAGGTAGCATCTTTAACACCCCATAGCAAGATTTTGTGTTCGCTAATGTGTTATCTGCTGTACTGTTGAATCATATATACAGGACACTTCCATGTACAAATGAGAAACCAGATAACTGAATGGCCCCACCTGGTAACAGGGAGGATTAGGTTAATTAGTTATTAGTTGTAATTATAATTAAACCCCAGCACTGAAGTAACTCTAAATCATTTTTTTTCCTTCAACTAAAACCTTCAGCGTTTTTGTAACCTTTTCATTGACTTACTATCCAGGACTGAGTTGCTGATTTTGTGCCTCCTTTCCTAAGAAATAATACTCATGTTCTAGACATAAACATTGTATCAATTTACACTGACAAGGAAAAGAATGTTACAGTACAAATTAGAACACCTGGGTTCTAGGCCCAACTAACAGCTCTCTGACCTTGACAAGTCACTAAAACTCTATTTTGGTTTTCTTCCTAGGAGATATTTCAGCTCTAAAATTCTCCAAGTCTTAGTAATAACAAATACTATATTTAGCCATGGCATTACAGTAGTCCTTTTTGTATTAATTTTACAAATTCAGACATTTGTTATCACTGTATCTTCTGACAAAATCATGTGACTTTCATGAAACCTGTGGCTTTAGACATTTTTGGCCATGACCATAGAACGAAATGTATTTTCCATTGTAACCCAGTAAAACTTTCATGATTCAGGACTTACACATGCAACATCCCAGATATTTTCTATCCTATTTGTTTCCTGTTTGGGGTTTATTTTCTCAAATATTGGTCAGGATCCATTTCATTTATTTCACAAACCAGTGAGTCATGACCTTCATTCTGACATCGACTTGAGAGTATATAATAAGCTTTATATTTCTTGAATTCTAAATGAGTTGAGTTCTGATTAACAAGGATCTCCCAATCTAATCTAAGACAAAGTTTCTCAAAGTATGTCCTGAAATGCTAAATGATTTACCAAAAAAAAAAGTCTGTCAAGTAAAGTTTGTGAAATAGTCAGATAACATGAAATTAATTCCTTTTTTTCAGAACTTTGCAAAAATTTTAATATCCTGAGGGCACTGTGATTCTTCGAGAGAGAGAGGTGGTACACCTTAGCCCTGATGTGACCATAGACAGCTTTTGTCTCACACTTTATCCTGAGGAACAGCACTTGGGGAAATACCATTATAAAGACTATTACATTAACTTGAACTTTGAGTCAGATAAGATTCAGCTTTAGTTTTCTCAACTCTTAAAATCGGTTTAATAATACTGCTTTTGTAAAAGGTTCATAAACATTAACATAATCTTGCATGTAAGCTGTCTTGCACATTGCCAAGAACACAGTAAGGGATGAAATGAAATTTTTTTAGATGGAACTGTATGGCATAGGTATGGATGACTCACTGATAATGAAATATGGCAAGTTCTAAGAGAGGTAGGAGAATACAAACAGCTAAAATGGATGACTTTTTAATTTTAATGTTAGTAATCAAAGGCAAAGAAGCGAGTTCCACAAACTGACCCCCACCTGCCCGCCTAGCGTCAAACCCCTGCCCTGCCCTCCATGTTTCTTTGCCTTCAGCTACTGAGTTGTTTCCCACACTGAAGTCCACCCACTTGCTCATATTGATTTTTCAGTCTCTAACACCCTTCCTCTTCCTCTCCACAAGGCAAAGAACATGCTACAGAAGCTACTACACAAAAATGTTAAACCAATACTTTATGCTTCCTTCCAAAATATGTTTTAAATAGTGTCAGCACAAGAAATGTCAAAACCTATGGAGAATTTTTATGAGTTTATTTGAGCCAAACTGGCAACAATTGCCAGGAAGCAAAATCGCAATGGATTCAGAAAATAATCTG